CAGAAAGGAGGTGCTGGGTGGTGGCGTCGTGTGGGTCGGCCCCGCTCCTGCCCTTCGCTTCCCCTGCGGCAGCTGTGCTTGCTGCCTTCCCCGTAGAGGACTAGCTGATGTATGGCCCTAGCTAAACCTCATCCCCCCCCCCCCTCAGGGGAGAAGACAGGAAAGAAAGCATGGAAAAATCACATGTTTATGGAAGAGGAGCACAAATTTAAAAAGGGGATGATTAAAGGTTTAAAATTAAGGACAGAGAATATTATCAGCCAGTGCTTCTTGTTACTACTGATTTCTGTATTGTGGAGAGTTGTTGGCTTGTCCTATACAAAACTAAATGTTCTTTTTTTTCTATCCCATCATAAAGAGGCAGAGAAAAAAATCCAAATGTTTTTTAGGGGGGGAGGGGGAATGCTAGTCAACAGAAGAATGAGGATTAAGGGCTAAAATCATAGGAATAGCCAATTCGAAGGGAACACCAAGTGGCACTCCCTTATCAGTGCTTGGACACCTAAAGAGGTGGTGGAGACTGCCTAAAACCCCTTGGAAATGTAACAGGACAAGAGGATGGAAGTTAATTCCCCCTACAGTTGCTGGGGTTCCCTTCTCAAGTTACTCCTCATGGAGTTGTGTATACCCAACTTTGCCAAGGTCAAGAGGAGCTGGAAGAGGCCTTGCAGTGGGCTGGAGTGGTGATTTCTAAAGTTTTCAAGCTAGTGCAGGATCCCAAATAGCATGCTCAGGCTTAGCATTCAGAAGTTGTGATCCTCTGAACATGAGGTTTAAAGAAAGTGAAGCTAGTGTGTTTCTGCCTGTTTTTTTATCCCTGGATTTTTTTTATTTTTCAAGGTAGCTACTGACCTGAGGAAAATGCTTTTTTTTTTCCCCCTCCTTCTTCCTTGAAAGTAGAGATTTTTATATACTCACTGGGGTTTTACCAAGTAACTTGCAACTTCAAATAGGAAATGAGCATTTTTTCCCGTGTCACACGTAATTATTGACCTTCCGTTTTAGTCTGCCCAAGTGACCTCAGCTATGTTTCTCTGCCCTTTTTTTTTTTTTTTAAAGTCTTGTGGCTTTTTTTTCTGTGATTAATCGAGTCCTCACGTAAGCAAACTTAAAAGCATTTGTTTTTACAAAAATAAGCGGCCAAAAAACCCACATTTTTGGATTGGCTCCACACTGACCACTTAAAATCCTGTCAGTATACTCATTATATTCAATTTATGCCCAAATATTGTCAGTATGCTTGTATTGACTAAAATCGCCATGTAATCTGGGGGGGGTGTACAGGCAACTGCCAGAAAGGGTGGTCCAGCTGTGCCTCCCCTTTGGCTTCAGGTGCTCGTTTCCACTATGTGTTCTGTGCCGGTTGTTGTGTGGTGAGTCGTATCGGGGTACTAAAGCAGCTGAAAACTAATTAGACAAAAAATAGTTTTCATTCAGTTTAGTTCCCTGATCTGTCCTATGCAAACCCACACCACTGCGCACAAGAGATACTGTGAATAAAGAAGCGTAGTGTGTGGCTTAGGGACAAGGTGGCTTTTTTTTCAGTGGCAGGGGTAGTCTAGCCTAGCAGAAAACTGCACTTGAAATCTATACTAATTAATTTTTAATAGAGGTAAACTGTATATCTTAGATTGGATCATGTTTTTGAACCATATTAATGCATGTTTTTTCTTCTATATATCTGTGCAGGCCTTTAATGCTAGTACTTCAGTGCACATTAAGTGCTCCATAACTTTAGAAGACTAATGGTCACAATAAAAAGTGTAAAACATCCTATTTTGTCTTTGTGGTGTTACCCTAATAATCAAGATACTACTAAGTACCACGAGGTACTGATCGCTTTTCATACCTCAGTTTTCTTAAATGTTCTGTGCAGCAGTATAACTGCATGGAGTGATTTGCAGTATTAGGGCTGTCCAAAGTTTGGGTATCTGAGTGTTGAATAAAAAAATTAGAATGTGAAGAGACTTCCAGTAGTTTTTTAATATTAACTTATTTTAGTTATTATTGCTCCAGCTGTGACTATGCTGTGACTTAACCTATGTTAGCTGATAAGCATTAGGAATACTGTTTAAAATATGTTGTGTTACATGTCTCCCAGTATGACTAATTCAAATTGAGGAGTAGAGTGGGAATCAGCAAATATGTAAATTATGTTGTACAGCTATGAAACTAGTTAGCCATCTGACATTGCCCCCTTCACATGTATTCACACTCCAGTGAATGTTAGCTTAAATGGGAAAAACGCTGTGAAATCAAATGGATGCATCGAACTGATGCATAGATATGATCACTCTTCCAGAGCTGAGTAGTGAACTGAGCAAGTAGGATTCTGAAGCTTGTGATTCTGTCTTATCTCTAGCAAAGTACGGATCAAAGCAAGCCTTGGTGCTGCAAAATCTTCAATATTTGAATACAATAAAATCATCTTAGATGGTAGGTTTTTTGTAGTTTAGGTCAAAGTGAGCTGGCACTGCTTCTTTTAATAACTGTCGTTCCCAGCCACTCTTTTCCACCCTTGCTTCCCTGCTTCTCTTGTAATGGTACAGATATTTGGCATACCCGTTCTTTGTACCAAACGTTTCAATAGACCTGTTTGTTTAAAAAGGATTTACCTTGACTTAGGTCTTTGATGCTGTTCACCATTTAGCCACACAAGCGCTCCTCCTGGCACAAGGAGGAGGTGGATGTGAGAGGATTGCTAATCTGCTACTTATGGCTGCAATGCTGATTTGAAGTGTTCATAAAACTAATAGCTTAATTTTGCAGTCTTAATTTAAGCAGAACTAAAGGTTTGAAATGGAATTTTCTCTTTTGATTTTTTCGTCAGTAGAAATTGCAGAAGTCCATCAAAAGAAGGGTCGTATGTATCTGTGACATACGTGCTCTGTTCCCCCCACTCTGAGGTATAATTGAATTTTTCATTTTTAGCGTTCAGAAACTTTTTTCCAGCTTTGAACAACTTTCTCATTAAATAGAAGGAAATATCAATAGTTAATTCAGGAAAATTATCTGTCTTGGAGAGTGCAGGGTGTTAGAGGTAGAATGACGTATTAGCATTCCTTCTACCACAGTATATGTTCACGTAGACTTTCAAACTATTTGTGGTACCTACCTGAAGCTGTGCTCTGCAGAAATCACATTAACTGATTTTCTGGCTATTTTTTCCCCCTTAGAAAAGAGTTATGTTTGAACTTTCCCCCAAGAATCAGTGTTCTTCTGAATTGTTTTATATCATTGAAATCTTACGTTTAATAGACATTCATGTGTAAAGTAGTTGACTGAATGTATCTTTGCTTGTTTTGAAGGAGAGAAGGCGTGGTCGTGGAAGATACAGAGGTAGAAAGTGTGGTCGAGGTCACAAAGGACAAAGACAAAGAGGAAATCGTCCTCGATTAGGCTTTGAGGGTGGTCAAACTCCGTTTTATTTGGCCATACCAAAATATGGGTTTAATGAGGGACATAGGTAAGCTTCTTCATACTTACTCAGAAATGAAGCATTATCTGTGTTTACTGTCTTTCTCCTAAAGCTGGTAATCTGTCTAATTTCACAAAACAGGCCTACCTGAAAATGAGACTGTATTCTTTTTTGATTATTGGCTGTCTATACCAGTAGAAGCAGCCATTTCTTGTGAGGCTTTTTGTTTTTCAGTCGATTGATTTCTGTTGTTTTATAGCTCTTCTTATGTGCCCTCTTCTCTGCATAATCCTTCATATGTAGCAGTCTGCCTCTCCTCCTGCAACTGAGTGCATCTCCCGTCTGAGACTGCTTCTCCATATGTGCTTGCTTTTCTCTCTGCGAGGCTTCGCAGGGGTCATCCTATTGACCTGAGTGGAAACAGTCCCATTGACTTCAGTGGACTCCTGTGAAGGTGTTAAGCATGCAAGTGTAATCCAAAGTCCGTTTCGCTGTTTGTCTGTGCCTTCTTCACCGTAAGCTCTGCCTTGCTGCTAGCTAAACAATTCTATTTTTCTTTGGTTTCTACTTTCTCTTCTTTTCTACTTTTGTAGCCCTACAAAACTGATATCTCTATTTCTCCTCCACCTTTTCCACCTAGGGTCTTACCAAACTCTTTAATAACAAATCTATTGGGTGAAGCCATTAAATCATTTTTCACCGTTGTTCTTCTCAGGCATTCTGTCTTGTTCACATTTCTGTCTCCTTTTCATGTTGTGCTTGCTTGTGCCGTGTCCCTCTTCCAGCTTTTAAATATTTAAAGTGATTCTTCTAATGTGCCTTTTCTCAAGTCACTGTTCTCAGCTGTGGATCTGCAAGCCAGTGTTGTTATCCATTTCCTTCAGTATATTGACTGTTATAATAATCTGGGTTTTTTTTTAAAGCTATTTCTGTTTCTTAAGTCAGCATGCATGTGACCTGGGTCACCAACCATTCTGTTGCGCACAATCAACCATTGTAGATAACGGTCACAAAAACTGCTGTACCTACACACTGCTGCTGTAGACAGTGCGAATAGAAAGTGCCACAGTTACAAGCACTAAGATCTTCCTTTAGTGTGCTATATTTTAGCAGACAGTTCTAAAATGAAAAGTTTAATGTATTTATTGATAAATTGTTAAACTTTGTTTGGTTTCATATTAATAATATAACTTCAGCAGATAGCTGTGCATTTTTATATTACCATTCTTTATGCATTCTTTATGCTCATTCTCTCAGAATGCACCTGCTCTCATTATTTTCTCTGCAGGTCTTTCATAGTTTGAATCACACTTCAAAACTAATTTCTGAATACTATGATACCCTCCTCTTGCTTAATTTGTAATAAAAGTGAACGAGCAGCACTTCCCTGAAGTGAAGAGAGGGTGTGAATCTGCAGTCCCAGGAAGGAAATGCTGCAGAATGCAGATACTGAGTTTCTTAGGTTAACAGTGGTCACAAGTTTGTTAACAAGAACAATCAGAGCTTCTGCAATGACAGAAAATTAACAGAATCTTAGTGTATTTTAACTGCATCTGGCAGCATGTGGTAACAAAAGCGTATTTTTTATTTTTTTTCACTGTTGTTTGCAAAATTCCAATGCCGAGCTAGAGTAAATGTTTTTCTAATTAACATTGTACGTTAACTTGAGAGACAATACTGTGGCAGGATGGGAGCATCCTGAACAATGCCTCTACCTATTTATCTTCCCCTCACTCTTCTTTCTGTCTGCTGAAAAAGTGTTTCCCTACTTTTTCAGCTTTTCCTCTGTTAGGAGCTATCTGATAGCTCTGTTAGGGCTAGTTCTGTTGCTTGCCTTTTTTACTGTATGCAGTTTACCATTAACAGAGATCAGCTTTTCATTTTTTCCTCCTATCACCCACAAATTTCCAATTACAGCAGTCAAATGATCATATGAGAAGGTTTTGAGCGCCAACATAAATGGTATGGATCAGACAGAGACACTAGAATCGGAAAACTGCTTTAAGGGTTGATTTGTTGAGTAAAGTTAGAACTTTATAAAATGCAAAAGTAAATTTTGCTGAAGCTGATGCTATTGACAAAATATTCCTGTTTCCTTTGGTGATACGGAATATCACCAAAATTAATGCATACTTCCTGAAAGTTTCTCTCCTTAATGGTATTTTGAAGATGATTCTGTTTAATTCTTTTGAGATGTCAAACACAGTGCTAACGCTCTTTTTAAAAAAAAAAAAAAAAAAAAGTATCTTGTTTTGTGGATAGAGACAAGCCGTGAAGCCGCATGTATTGTCTTTGGCTGATATCCTTTGACTAAGTTTGGATGTTGTTGCACATGGGTATCTTGTTTGTTTGTTTTTGTCTTTGTTTTGTTTTTTTTTGTTTGTTTTGTCAGCTTTTCAGAATGTATCACTAAAGCTGCCAGGCTTTGGAGATGGTAGTTATTTAGAATCCTGTTGACTGGCCAAGAAATGTTGACAATTTTATTTCTTCATGATTTGCTGCTTCCTATATCTTGTACATGGTTAAGAGGTATTTAGAGTAAATTGAGCTCAGCAAGAGGAAAATGACTAATGTAATAATCCCCACCCCCGCCCCCCAAAAACCTGAATGCATAATGAGGTCTTTCTTGGGCTGTAACTAGAGTTTCTAAATTTAGTTTAATGCAAACATAGTTTGCATTTATTTTGGAAAAATTACTTGGCATCTTTAGGAACAGGTGGAAAATGGAAAGTGTGCTGTATTCTAGCTGGCCAGATCCTCTTAAAAGCTTTGAATTTTGTAAATTTTTCTCTTTTTTTCCAGCCTTAGACGTCAGTATCAACCACTCAGTCTTCAGAGGCTGCAGTACCTGATTGATTTGGGTAGAGTTGACCCCACGCATCCGATTGACTTAACACAGCTCACTAACGCCAGGGGAGTAACAGTACAACCTCTCAAAAGGGATTATGGTGTCCAGCTGGTGGAGGAGGTAAGCATACAAGAGAGGTTTATTATTTTAAGTAATGTAAAGTTTTGGGTTTTCAGATGAATTCTTCTGTACTAGGCTGTTATGTTCCTCTTTTCTCTTCCTCTCGTTTGGAAACATCTTTGCCTCTCTAAATTACGTTTGCTCTGGATTTTTTGTAATATTAAATCCACTAGAGGGCACTATGTGTTAGCAAGAAAATCAGATGGTGTTTTAAGACTTGTGAGACTCTCTAAAAAATTAATACTGAAGAAGCACATACAGAGCAGTTGAGCAGTTATTTTAGAACAATTTTAGAATTTACTGAAAGAAATGTATGGCAATTTTGGAAAGGCAAATTTTTTGAAATTCAACCCATGTGACTGAGTTAGAATAACTTGGTTACCTTTCTTGGTACAGAGAAGGCAAATCATAATATTTTGCACGGGTTAGTGTTTATTAGAACTTTATGGAGAGGAATAAATACGTACCTCAAAATACTCATTTTAATGTTACTCTGATGTGTGTTGAAACTTGCAGGGTGCTGATATTTTTTCAGCAAAAATAAATATTGAAGTACAGAGGGCATCTGAATTAGCAATTGCAGCCATTGAAAAAAATGGAGGTGTTGTTACAACATCCTTCTACGATCCGAGGAGTTTGGGTAAGAATTTTCCTTCATTTCTGTCTTTTTTTCTTGAATGTTAGAAGATGATCCAAACCAAAGTCTCAAACATAGATCTTACTGCAAAAATGATCCACTTTTTTCTCATCTAAAAGTTCCAACAACAGCTGTGTTATGTGTTACATAAGTGCAGAACCATAATGCCCTTTTTTTTTTTTTTAACTGTTTACCTCTTTAGCCCTACCAGTGTTAATAATCACTTACCAATCAGCCAGTTAAGTCCGTTCTGCATTCTACAAATTGACTTGATTAACTTATTCTGTAAACAGAGGAACAAATAAAGGATAGTTTCTTTGGATTTCTCTTTTAGCTTTCCCACACATTTTAATAACCCTAAGAAAATTCAGGAAAAAAAAATGAATTTAAAAAACACTGTAGATGTTTATATTTTTATTTTAAATACTTTTCCAATTAAAGTGAGGAAATTTATAGAAGCTCCCAATCATTCCAGTCAAAATGGCTATTGTTTTCAGAACACTTTCACTGAAGAATGTGGCTTGGCTTTGCTTTTCTTGAGGCTGCATCCTGCCTAATACTCGTTTATGCAGTTTTTATTGACATTAATGAAGCTTTCACGTGTGAATGAAGTAGAGGACAAGAGGGTGGACATTTCTTAGTGTGCAAAATATTCTACCTTGAACTGATACAGCTTCATTTTTTCTACACCAGAAAAAAAAATCAAAACGTTGAAGGTAAATAGATCAGGAATGTAATTTGCCAATTATGGTAAAACTTCAGGAAGAGAGGATAGTCTCTTAAATGGCTAAATAAGAGCACATGCTATTGATTCTTTATGTAAAATACTGATAGAAATGCAAAATTTGGTGTTTATTGATGCCACTGTGTAAATAGTGGTACAAATACACTACTGCTAAGCTAGAAGTCACTGCTTTAAATCAGTTGGCATCTTCTAGCTTAGGTTGTTGTATCTTTCAAAAGTAGGCATTCTAAACATATTAGAAATAATGATTCATTCACATTGCTTTAACTGATATTTATAGTGACAGGGTTATTTGTTTGGTTAAATGAATGTCTAATTCTGAACAAGAATATTTTTAAGATTCATTTTTCAGTTGTTTTTTCATAAGTGAGATAAATAATTTATGTAGCCAAATAATACTCTCATTAAATGGGAGGGTGTCATTTAATGTCTTTAAACACTGATCATGAAGCGGAGTATCTAATTTTCTCTCTTTTGCTTGCACACAGAAATTTTATGTAAGCCAGTAGCGTTTTTTCTGCGTGGCCAGCCTATTCCAAAGCGAATGCTTCCGCCTGAAGATCTAGTCCGTTACTACACAGATGCCAGGAACCGTGGGTACCTGGCAGATCCATCTAAGGTTGCAGAAGCCAGGCTTGAACTTGCCAAGAAATATGGTTATGCCTTACCAGACATAACTAAGGATGAACTCTTCGAAATGTTACGTACACGCAAGGATCCTAGACAGATTTTTTTCGGTCTTGCTCCAGGATGGGTCGTAAGCATGAGTGACAAGAAAATTCTGAAACCAACTGATGAGAGGCTGCTAAAATACTATAGTTCGTGAATTCACGATTGAAGACAACTGCAGGTGTACAGGAAACATCTGGGAACAAAATAATGGCTACAAAGTGGGGTTTTTTTGACTTCTGTTGTACTAGACAAAACAAATTTTTGTTTATGTAATGACATAGCTGTCAATTTTTTTGTTGTCATAACAGTGTAGTGAGAAGTCTCAACTTTGAAAAGTGTAGAATCTGACATGAATAAAGTATATATTTGAGCACTTTCTCTTGCAATAATTTGCCTTTATTTTTCTCAAAGTATTTTAATTTTGCATTTATTTTAAAAGAGCATTCCAAAGAGTAGCTTGACCTAATACTTAGTTTACTTTTTCTGCAATTTAAAATCCAAAACATGACTGTACAAAACTAATATTAGTGTTACAATTATTTAACATACCTTTTTTTTACAACGTTAATTATAATGCTATCTTGAATACCTCTGAGAGGTAGACCATCCATTTTTTGATAGGGAAAAAATAGATACCATAGTGCAGAACAGTTCATTAGCCGTAGCAATGTTTTGAATTCTGCCACTGCCACCCAGAGCATTAGAGCTTGAAAGATCTTTGATTTTGTGTCCTGTACTCATTTCTTCAGTTAATACCCTTGAGAAAGACATCATTACTACATCATCCATTGGTATTGTAGTATGCATTTGAATGCTTAGGATTGGGCTTTGGGGAACGTGGACCAAGTAATAGATTAGAAGGTGAGAGAAGAGACTAAGTTTATCTATTAGAACTTGATCTGACTCCTCACAAATTAATGAGATGTTTCATAATTACTTGAACATTAATGGAAGCTGAATTTGGCTTTAAAATAGGGTTAAGTTGGATATCAGGATGCAGGAAACAGTCCGGAAGATCAGAACACAAGAATAAACCTTGCTTTCCAATTTTTAAATGCCCTTGGAAATGCTACTTATAGTTTCCTGTAGGTGCCAAACCATTCCATCTCCTAGGGAAAGCCCTCAGAGTGCCAGAATCTCCTGTTTCTCTAGTATAACAGCTGCAATAACTTGTGTGCCTCAAGAGAAAAAAAAACTTAATCTTTTTTTGCTCAGAGGATAACAATAAGCGTATGAAATTTTTGTTGTACTTTGTCAACACATTTTGGCTTTACTCAGGAAATGGTGCTGTCAATTAATATGACCATCTGTAATCACAAACAAAAAACTCTCATTCACAAGCTGATAAAATAGTCTAATCCAGAGATTAACAATGAAATGTAACTAATTTTTGACAACTTACTCTTCAGTTTCTATTGTCTCTGTTAATATGTGTTATATGCTATCAATAATGGACGTTCTCCTGACTTGTGGTTTAAGTATAGGTGCAACATAGCAAAACAACACCAGCATAAAACTGGATTGTGAATAGCAGGAATTTGGTCTCGGTGGTGTTAACATGAGTATTTTTATAAGGTGCACAACACTTTTTTTTTTGGCACATTAAGAATAATACTTTGTGCCAAAAAAATATAACTGGTGTTAACTTGAATGTGGAGTAAATAACTTTCTCACTTTAGATGTATCCTGTTCTGCATCCTGATGATTGTTAGTGTGGAAACTTAAATGACAAGCAATACTTTTTTTGTGTGTTATTACAATACTACTACCTCCATTTGGGAAGGAGTTGGGGGGGAGGGGGGAGAGTATTTATTGCCTTCCCTTATTTGTGCCATAATGTTTCTGTTTTTATGAATCAATTCACAATTGTATTTTGTGGAGGTTGTGGTACTCAACAGGAAAGCTACTTAACTGGAAGCAAAGAAGGAAGTTAGTCATTTTAGTGAAGACCAGAAGACAAAAGTGTTTATGTATCATTGTGTATTTTGGGGGGGAAAAGGGGGAAGGCAACTTTATTTCCATTCCTTCTGTTTATATTAAAATCAAGAAATTGCTTTCAGAATTTTTTTTTTCCAAATCAACTTCTTTGATACATACACGCGTGCACATGCTGGTAACTCCAGGTTTCTAAATGGTTTTCAGGTGAAAGGGTAACTCGGATATAAAATGATAACAGTGAAAGAAAGAATGAAAACAGGAAACAGATGTCTGGTGACGTCGAGTGATTGGATAGCGCTTATTCAGTGAACGACGTCTTAGTCACAAGGCAGCTGTATCCTGATTCTGATACTATAATGCTACAAATACCTTGGAGCCAAAACAGCCACGTTCCTCAAAATCCGGTCATTCTGCTGTATAAAGGTGATCTTTTATCATCTTATAATTGGAGAGGGTAAAAAGGGCCCTATGTTGCTTTATTTAAAATATGCACTGCTTGTCTTTTTTTTCTGTTTACAGTAGCTAGCATTTTATAACAGGAGTTCTCATTTTATTTACTAGTGAAAAAGTGACAAGGCTATAGCGGATTTCCTGTTCATTTTATCTCCTAAGGAGCACAAGTCTCCTGGCAACTGAGTACAGAATTACCAAAGCACAAGTGAGTTATTGACAAGGTTTCTAATAAATCCATAGTAAACAGCCTCTGAATGGGATGTCGTTTATATGATGCAAGACTCTAAGCCAGCATTGGCATCTAAGGCTAATCTCTTAAGCATGTGTATGATGTTTTCACGTTCATAAGATAAATGATTGCTTTGGATATCCTGTTTTGATAGGGGTTTTGTGTGTGTGTGTGTGTGTGTGTGCAACAATGTATTTCACAGCAAGAGGACTGAATCTGCTATAACAGGAAAAGCATTATCAAGTAGCTGAGGAAAAATAACTTTATTTGTGCCATAAAATATTGAAAGTCATGTTAATTATTATCAATGGCATCATATTCTTGAGTGTTCCTTGAGAAAACTGGTCACATATGCAAAGCTGCAATCAAAATGAAACCTTCTGAACAAGTACACACCTTCATAATTAGAAATTGCCTGTTTCTTATGAGATAGACTGTACTAACTAACATTAGCCAGTTGATATTGTACTTACAGGTGGCTGACTGCAGGCTTGAAATGAAGCTCATTAATATAAATGCATCTTCCCTTTTTATCTTCACATAAAAAGAATCTGACTCTTCAAAGGGATACTGACTTTTCTTTCATTATGCTTCGTAGTATCCTATTCATGTTTAACACCCCAAAGCTGAATATACTGTTTTCTGATTTTAAGAAAGAAGTAAAAAAGATGCATAAATTCGTAGCTCTGATCTGAATCTTCGCTGGCAGCATGCCACCATTGTTTTGACATGCAAGCATAATTGATGTTAGTGCTCCAGGAAGTCATATAAAAGTGATCAATTATGAAGATAGCTTCCCATTCGTATTTTATTATTTTCTGTTTTATTGATATAACTTGAAATGTTAAAACGTTAGTGCAAAACTAACTTTGCAACGCTGAGCAAGTGTTGTAAAAATTTGTCTCAGTATATTAATATGAAATAATTACCCAGGTTTTTTTATTTTAAATATTTAATTGTGTTATGTTTATGTACATCTGAAATAAGGATGCTATGTCTATATTCTAGATGTAGCTTTATCTTAAAATGTCCTGATCCTCAGGGATCTGATGGGAGTAGTTCTATGTAACTAGCAGTCTTTCATCAGTTTGTTGTGTTGTGCTTTAGTATATGAAAATACATAGTTAGAAGTCCTGGAACTCTGCCAGAGTTGCTGTTACCCATTAGAGGAAGATGATGAACTTTATGCTCCTTCATCTCCTAGCCCAAATGGCCATCTTGGTCTTTTGTAGTGGAAGCAAACTATCCTCAGATCTATTCCAACTCCTTTGGTTAACGTTCTTTCTGTTGCATCTGCATCTTTCCGAGGTCTCTTCTCTCTTCTTCAGTTGCAATTGTGGGAACTACAAGGCTCAATCATTCTCACAGTGTCATCCTGTCTGGCCCACTCTGAGTTTGAAAATCTGGTTGTTTTATGTGCCTCTGGAGCAGGAAAAGTGTTGATCATTCCTGCATCTGTTTATACGATGGGGTTTTTCATGGCTTGAGTTTCCTGCACTGGTGTTGCTTTTGTTGTTAAAAATGTCAACAGCAATGTTGTTTAGTTGTTAACCTTGTAGATTCCAAGGCGTGTGCTGACAGTGGTCTGGAGGGCCCTTTGAGCAGTGGATTCGGAGATTATTCGGGGTCGAGAAAAGCTCCTACAAGGGTATCTGTGAGCTTAACTCAGAATTACACACGCTGGATACAAATCTTAATGGATAGGCACTGTTGCATTTTAATGCGTCACTGCCCAAATCAGTCTCTCCTTGCACATTTGGAAACCCAGCCTCCATAAGCTTCATTCTAGTCTTCTGATAGGATTATGCTGTCTGGTCAAGTTGTCTTTGGAAAATAAGCTGATGTGTTCATTTATAATAAACTGATTCTCTATGGATTTTCTTGTAATGCAGTGTAGTTCAGTTTGCTCCCAAAGTGGGAGTACCTTATATAAATTCACTCTTAATATCTAACAAGGGAGATGCTTGCATTCTTTACTTCCTTTGGTGTAGCCATGATTCAGAGCTTCAAAAGTTGCAATCTAAGTGGAATTCAGTGCACTGCGGTACTTTCTTAATTTCAAAAGTAATGCCAGTCTAAATTCATATTGCTCACATTTAGACAGTTGTCTAAGCTTGTTTTATGGTAAGTGGAAATCTGATGGATATGTTCAGTGGAGCCTGAAGAATGATTGGATTTATCCTGAAGCAGATACTGGATCAATAAATTGCTGTCTAGGCTCTACTGACTGCAAAGGTAGTTTTAACATATAGTGCCCTTGTATACATCTAAACTTAAGTATCAGGAGCTGAATTCTGCTCTTTATCTTCAGTGACCAAGGTTGCTTGAAGTTAATGGTTGGAATATCTCCTTGAGGACTTAAGGATCCATGTTACCAGTGTGATATACCTAAATATGTGCTGTAAACCTGGCTCATCATTGGGAACTTTTGAATTTTGGTGTACTAGGTTGTGTTTGTCTTTGCAAATAAGCGTGCTGATCTAAGAAAACCAAGCCAGAGCACGTCCTGCTGCCATAAGAGAGGAAATGCAATCAGATGCTCGGTGTTATTGTGCAAGTGCAGCCCATAGCAGCTTTTCCAGGATGCAGAAGTCAGTGGCATCCCCAGATAGAGGCCTCTAGCTCTCTCAGGGTGGATGACTCCCAGCTTCCAGCTCTGCACTGCTATTGCCATTCAAAATTTGTCTGCCTATGGCCCTTGGCACTTGTTTAATTTTAAAGTTGCTAATATCTGTGCTATCTTTAACGTACACATTT